CACTGCGAGCAGTTCTCAACTTTTCGCGATTATAAGGATCCGAATCGTCAATATTATCCGAAATATCACCAACATTGATATGAACTGGATCCTCTCTGCACAGCTTCAACGACACATCTCTCACCTACACAAATATTCAATTTTCTTCCGTGATATGAAAAAAAACACATTTCACTCCACGGAAAACAATTTCATTATCGGTCGCGGAAACATATACGTTTTATAATATACATAAATAATTACACAGCCACTTCATCCTAAACATCCATACCATCCCTTCGCCAACTCACCTCCTCAGGCCACGTCGCGCTCAACATAATGCATTGTCGATCCGGACGAATCTGCTGGGATATCTGAATAATACCAAAGTCAAAACTCGACTTCTCGAAAATTCTCGAAAAATTCACAAAACTTGCATATATTGGGGTTTCACCCTAGTGATATGAAAAACATATTTCACGACTACTACATACCGTTTCCACCGAGTTTTACGCCCCTTCACGTAAAACGAGTGAAACTCGATTGAACAAAATTCCCCCTCTCCCGTTATTACCGTTTTAACTTGTTTCCAAAATCCCAATAAAATCATTCGATCAGCTTCGTCTACCACAAAGAAAGTAACTCTTCTTAAACAGACGCCGCCGTCGGACATCATATCAAGTAACCTCCCAGGAGTAGCTACGATCATATCAGGCCTGAAAATTACAAGAAGTATTTTCATAAAATTCACAATTTTACGGGAAAATTTAGCAAAAATCCACAATTTCACGTAAAAATTCATCAACACCAGAATTTTCTATGAGAATTTATCAGAAAATGAAAATTTCCCGCGGAAAATTCAGCAAAAATCCACAATTTCCCAACCAGCAACACCAAAATTTTCCACGAAAATTTATCAGAAAATGACTCATATCATAAATCCGTACTTTCCCGTGAGAGTTCAACAAGAGTTGCTCACATGCGGTCCTGGCGAAGTGAGATATGTTTTTCACTAGTGTTTTTCATATCACTAGGGTCAAGAAACTCCAT